ATTTAGTAGGAAAGGGGTCAGGGGTCAAATACTTTTTTGTCTTTGAGGCCATCTTCAAATTTTGTCAAGGGAGATATTTTAATTTTCGGAGGCCACAGTTCCATTCTCATTAACTCGCTGCAATTTAATTTCTCAGCAATGGAGAGGTGATCTGCCTGGACCACTCGTAAACAAACCTTTTTCATGTAGTAATAACACCATCTCTGTGTTGACACGCACGGTATTTGGACTCTCTCAGAAGCAGAATTAAAATAATTCCACCATGTCCTCAATAATGATCACCTCTCCATTAATCTTAAACAAACACATTGTGAAGGCATTTATTAGACACCACACTATCTGAATTTGTACAAGGCAACAAGTTAACAAGAGTTTGTTTTCAAAACAACTGACAACCACTTTACACTATAAAAGCCATCAGTTTAAACACATCTCCTGCAGACTGCAGAGGTCACAGCTAATGTGTTTCTATAGTATATGCACACATCTTGAGTTTTTTAACCAAGCAGTTATAACTGTATTTATTGCATCTCAATCTGAATCTCAGAATTAAATTTAACAATTGATACTGTGTATTTAGTAGAATTCACCATATTTTTTCGTATATGGTAGCTCTTGAGGTTATGCAGCCCTAAATTAGAAATTCCACATTCGTTCGCAAGGAATTCGTTGTCTCAGTTATTTCATAATTTTCTTGCACCAATTTGCTTAGAGTTCCTTTATTTAAAGTTTAAATTTGGTCTCTTTTTGCAGCTTCCTTTTCCTATTCCCTCCCTGCCCCAAACCACCTCCTCCCTCCCTAAACCCTCCTGCATCCCCCTTCAACCCCACTTCTGACTCCCTCAGGTTGACACCCCCACCCCAGAGTCCACAGTAGAACTCCCAGACCTGTTAAAAGGCCATTCCAGTCTCTGCAAAAGACCCCTCATCCTGGTGATTCTTGGCACCTCCATTAGCTCCCAGACCCCTGCTCCTGCACTTCAGCTCTTTGACCTTGACTCTCCCTTGCCAGCTGCTAGCCGTGGTTCCTGGCAAAATACTCCCATGATGATTCCCTGACTTCCATAGCTGATGGTTGCTGATGGTGTCACAGGCTTCTTCTCTCCTGCCTTAGCCTTGCTTGTAAGCAGAACAGCAGCAAGCACAGGAGAGAATCATCCCTACCATTTCCCTCCATCCTCTCCATTGGAAGGTACAGGCCATTTTATGACTGGTCTGATCTTCTGGAACTGGAACCCAACCAGGAGAGGACTTGCCTACCGGAGAAGGATGGGTGAAAATTGAGTTTGTACCTCACCAGTATAACTCGCTGTCTGGAAACCAGATGTTGTGTGGGCAAAATACATCAAATAGTTTTAGTTACAAACAACAAGGAAACTATGCCTGAGATTTTTTTTAAAAATTGAAGCAAGAAGATGTATATTCTGACAGCAGTTTTTAATGAAAGTGAGAAAATACATAGCAGTGTTATATGAATGCACATTTATTACAGCTACATACAATTTCCTCTGGACTTTGTATAGAGAAACACAATCAGTTTCCTTCAGCATCAAGTATAGAGGTAAGAAACAGGAAACAGTGTATGGACAAGTACAACATTCAGCAGTTACATGCAGACAAGGTTTTTTCCTGTTTCATTTACTGTACAGAAATGTTAAAAAGAACAACATTTTTACAAAATTACTTTACCCTCTCTTTCCACCCTAATTTACTTTGCATGTTGTAGCACCTTAGAAAGACATAGTTGGTTATTCATGAATTAATTATTAAATGGACCTGCTACATCTTTCATTTCTGAATAGCAGTTGATGGTTTTCTGTGCCGTTATCTTGGTTGCATTAAAGTTAAGACAGCAGCTAGGTACCATACCAGAATATGGATACCTTGTGCCAAATTACATAAACTAAATGTGCACAGACTTGTGTACAGGTATATGTACGTACAAATACATTGGCAAAAATAATGTCCAGATTAAAAAAACACACAAAAAGAAATAAGGAAATATGATATAATACTGTAATATTCATTAAAATATCTCAGTTTTCTCAATTTGTAGATTACTTAACATTGCCTCCAGCAGAAATGTAATTACGTTGTTTAAATGATGTTGCCTTCAGACACATGTATATATGCTCATGTGGTTTTTAATGAAAACATTTTGCCATAGTATGCGATTATCCCAAGGTGACGTGCTTTTGACTTGGCCTCTGGTATCATCTCATTTTTTAAAATTGTTTTTTTTTAATTTTGATTTATGCTGACGCCACTGGTAAATAATGAGGATTCCAAGAATGAAGTTTGAATACTTGCCTCTTTTATAAGGTTTTTTTTCAGATCGTCAGAGTCTAAATGTCATATCAATGTGGTGCAGCTTCTAATTCAACCCTAATTTAATATTAATCAGATTTATATAGCCAGTTACATAAACTTCTGTCTGTCAATCATATGAATCAGGAAGTAAATAGAGATTGAGGATTGTAGGAAGTGCCTGGAGAGCACTTAATGGCTGTTGATAGGTAAAATGAATAGATGGATGCTGATGGAACTGCAAACCTAACTTGAAATCTGTGAATAGGCTGATTTGCATGGAGTTACTACAGCTCTTAGCAAGCTGCCACTAGCCCATCAGCAATTGGTTACATCATTTACTAAAATGAGAATAACTTGGGTGAATCCCTTTTGATGGCTGAGTACATATCTCTGTTGGCTTTCTGCTTGCTGAAATTGTATTACAGGGTCACTGTGATTTGGAGTATGGTTTAAACAATAAATAAGAATCAAGAAATAAATGTTCAGCTGCAAGTTCATAGAATATCATTTTTGAAGGCAATTTGTGGAGTAGCAGTAAGTTTTGTTTGAAAGTAATGAAAGTTAGTCAGTTCAGGTAACAGCTCTCACTTTAACCTTTAGAAACCCGAACAGCCCATCATGTCCAGTTGCTGTTTATCGTGTGTTCAAAAATGCGGCAAAAGGTATTTTTTTCCTTGATCGGTTTTTACTCTCTTTACCTGAACAAGCAGGTCATGTTTACCCTCCGGTGCTTCACCTTAGTGGCCGTTGTGCATGTACCTTGACATTGAGCAAGGGATGTTACTTGTCTATGAGGAATACTTTAGTTACCCAGAAATCTTGTCCTCATCTTGACCAGTTTGCCTTCCTTAGCACCTTTGAATTAACAGAGACATTGAATTGAGTATGGGACCTTCTGGTCTATATGGCTTAATTTGTGATGTGTTTAGCAATGCAGCAATCAGAGAAGAGAAAAGCAGTTTTTTTAAAAAAATATGCTAATGACTGAAATAGAGCATTAAAATATTGCCACAATTATGGGAGTTTGTATATAGGATAAGGATATACTTGGAGTCTTCAGATGTATTTTCTCATGGGTTGGAATGTGCAGGTGGAAAGCCATTCTGGCTTTGCATTAATACAAACTAGGCGGCATCAGTGTAAATTTACATACAGTGACACAAAACATACTTGTGAAGAAATGTGAGACTAGTCAAATTCTTGCATCACTTTGTCCTTGCACCCACTAAGATATAATTGCAACCTCGACCCATGTTAACTTTTTAAGAAGTTCTGAGTCACCAATTCAATTACTTGCAAGTCTTTTGTATTCTATTGTTACTGTAAAAAGAAAGCCTGCCTTTCAATACCATTTGTTTTTGAGATGTGGGCAACACTTGACAATATTTACTGCCTATTCCTGTTTTTCCTAAATGCGTTAAGAATCAGGTGCAGCTCAGTATGCGTACTAGATCCTTCCCTAGATCAGAGCTTGTGACCACAGGGTGGCATGGTGGCTCAATGGTTAGCACTGTTGCCTCGCAGTGCTAGGGACCTGTTTATATGTTCTGTCCCGCGTCTGTGTAGGTTTCCTCTGGATGCTCTGGTTTCCTCCCACAGACCAGAGATGTACAAGTTAGGGGGGATTGGCCATGCTAAATTACCCAGAGTGTTCAGGGATGCGCAAGTTGGGTATGTTAGCGTATGGGAAATGCAGGGTTACAGGGATAGGGGTTGGGGGTTGGGTGGTTTGCTCTTCAGAGAGTTGGTGTGGACTTGTTGGGCTGAATGGCCTGTTTCCACAATGTATGGAATCACTAGGTTGCTGGCTCACTAACACCCAAAATCAATTGTATAAGTTATCAGCCTGTTTAATTCTAGAAGGGCCATGATCTACCTTAAACATCATAATCTTGATTCCCACATTAATGAAAGTAATGATATATTTATTTGATCTTTTCACTTCACCTCACATCTCTTCCTTCACTTTTCAAAACATTTGACTGCAAATAAATTGGGTCACGCTTCAAAAACAACTTACTGAATGAGTTGGGGTTGGCCTTGTGTAGCTTGTTGTCACACAGTTGTGTGTTACATGACATTATTTAAAAGCTGTGAAGAATTTGAAAGGTGTGGGTATTGTAGATTGGATATGAATCTTCATTTGCACAACCTATGTGGGAATCCAAGTTTGCTTTTCATGGTGGTGATTAAAGATCATACATGAAATGAATTTGGAAAGTCTCAATCCCAGTGACCACAGGTCTAAGGCACAAAACTGTCACTAATTCAGCATCACTAAACTAGAAATCTCAACTTTGTGGCTACAAGAGACTGATCTGGGAAAAAGAAAATGTCACTGTTCTGAATTTTAGGCAGAAGCATATCATATTGATATATTATAGTATCAGGTTCAATGGGGCATTCAAAACGGCATAGAAAGGTTTTTGGGTAGTAATGGTGTGCGGGGATATAGGATAAAGGGAGAAGATCATCACTAGCAATAGAGCCAGCGTGGGCACAACGGATGTCATAGCCACCTCTGCACTGCAGTATTTCTATGATTCAGATTCTGAATAAAGGATACAGTAGATGTAATTTTACACTGCATCCTAATTTTACTATATCCACCCTAGCAATGCTTCATACATCACCAAGTAATCTAAAATTATAATTGAGTCTAATGGTGTGCCATGTTTATTCTTTCATAGGTTTCGCAGAATGGCAGAACCAAGGAGGTAAGGCAAAATAGATATTTTAATACATTGTAAAAGAACCTAGAAATGCACAATATCCAGAACAAATATCAATTTTATTAACGCAAGGACATACAGACAAGAAATGTTCCACCTTTATTCTGAAAACAAAAGTCACTTGTAATTATTCCACTTTAGGTCTACAATTTTGAACTTTTGGTACATGGTGTGAGTGTTTCACAGACTCCAAATATTCTGACATTCTACACACACACTATCAAACTCAGATTCAAACTAGATAGAAACACCAGAATAGGTTCTTTCCGAGGTTTAATGGAAAGGAATTTTTTTTCTGCCTATTGCTGAACGATGTACAACCAAGCCATACAGACCAGAGTGTTACAGATCTAATTCCTGCTCTTAAACAGTTAGTAGTCAATGAGAATAAGAACTGGGTCATTACAGTATTTAAGATCTGACAGCAAGGGAGGGGAGAAAGAAATGAGCCAAAATTCCCATTACTCTTTACTGTTTGGTACCTCTTGATAGAAAAGCATGTGTTTGTGATAACTGCCTGAAGTTAGCATGAAGTTTGACAGCATTGGTCGAAAAGTTTGAGACTTCCTGTGAAGATTCACGTGACGAGAATGGTCACCTGAAAAAAGTAATTGAGGGCAGTCGGCGCTCAAACTGTACCCTAGATGAAGTCCAGTTATCAAGAGAGGAAAGGCAAACACTAAAATATATTTTAAAAAAACTATTTGAATTGAACGAAGCCTTTGGAATTAATCTATAACATAAAGATGACTTTTCCAGCCCTTTTCTTTTGATGCTGAAGCATTTGGAGCATGTAATTAAACAGCAACAGTACATCAGAACAGAGACTAACACAAATCACTATATACAGTGTGAATCAGGAACATGCAAATAAAGCAGAATTGCTTTGGTACTAAAAGACAGAATTGTTTCAAATTTTCCAGATAATATAGTCTTATATTTGAAAGCACTTCTCCAAAAGCAATATGAGCAGTGTAATAAAAGAGGAGTATTCATATGTATATAAAAAAATAATTTTCCCAAAATCAGAAGGTTTACTGGCACTTGTAAAGAAATTATTTTCTTCCAAAGCATTGTTCTATGAAAATACTAAACGGCTTTATCTGCACACAGCATTTGGTATATGTTCTACAGCAAGCCACATCTTGTAAACTATGTCCAGCACTTTTCTTTGTCGTCATTCTCCGACAAGAATTATGGTGGCATTTTTTTAGATTGCAGTTACATTATGAAGAAAATACACAGCGATATATGCAATGGTAGACTGATTTATGGAAACAATTTTCTGTTTAATTGACAATTATCAGATGCAGAATCATGAGTGGGGGTGTGTTGTATTGGTGTTGCTGTTGAATTCACTTAGTATATTGATGATAACATTAGCAACATTTTCAACACACCTTAAACCAGAAGACTGATTGTGAATGGAGAAATTAAGCAGCTTGGAAGCCAGCTGAACAGAGTCCACATTAATGAGAAAACAGGAGGAACATTCAGGAGGATAAACTCCAAGATCTGATGGGGAAATATATATAGTTCCTTTAGAGAAATAAAGAAAGATAGTTAAACTTTAGGTGGTAGGAGATAGCACAGTACATGTTGATTTTGTTCTGGGTCTACTTTTGTTCACTTTGTATATGAATATTTGGATATAGGCCCAGAGCTTACATGATGCCCAAATCTGCAGAGAGATGGGGAGGCACAGGGAATGAAATCTGAGGGCCAAAGAGTGCTACTAGAGGATAGAATGAGCAAAAAATAAAGGCAGACAGAAGCAGGTTCCTCGTCCAAGGACCCGTTTCCACTGATGATTGTGCGACAGTGGAATGTACCACTGGAGCTAATGAATGAAGCAGATCTATAAATACGTTCAATGGGTAGGTGATTGAAGGAGAATGGGAATACGAGGATATGGGAACAGGCAGGTACGCTGGAATAAGGGTGACTGTTTGACTGCTAGGGTTTTATTGTCTGTTTGAATGTTGCAGCTTTTATGTAAGTCTTCATTAAGGGAAATCCAGCTATTCAAGTCTGACTCACTTATCAGAATAACGTTTGTTAGAATGCCCTAACTATCTGTAGTTAAAGTTTAATTAAAATATCTAGTTATGTCAATATAGTTTCACAAAAACCATGAAAACAACAGTACAGTACAATAATTCAGTGCAGTTATTGGTGCAGTACATATTTTAGTGCAATGGTACAGTGTCAACACACACACAAAGGTATCAGTATCTGAAGAAAGATTAAAATATTCATGAAATTAAATGTAAATGAAATGACGAAATTTTAATTTCTCAATCTCGCTTATGACTAATCATTGAACCATATTAATTAGGAGACAATATCTTCAACACTATTTGATATAGTCTTCTAAATCCTTGGTGAGAAATTGCTAGCCATGTTAGAGAGGCTGTAGCCAATTTTGGCCATTACCCAATAGGCCTTGTTGTATCAAAAGTAAATGGAATAAATATGGAAGAATTTATCTGTATATTTACAATGTCTGTGTTTAACTGAAAGAACCATTAACATTATTCTGAGATCAGGAACAATGTTTATAACTTTTTAAAAATTGCTGTCAAAACAAAATTTTGAACCTTTTATTAAACAAAGGGGGTGGAAGAGCTAGGGGCCGCAGGATAGCAAAATGTATGAAGGCAACTGGGAGAAATCCTGGAGATTTTTAGAATGGAAGACCAAGGGAGGTGAGGATTTCCAGTTGTGTGGTATCAGGAAAGAATCAGTTAAAAGAGACAGCATAGCAAATTAATTTTAACAACAATGTTGTCAAGGAGAAGTAGTATTTTTCTCTTACTGTCTCCTTTGCAAGTAATACTTTCCATTTTTAAATATTGCATACCTGGTGAGAATGGGAAAGACAAGCTGCAAAGCTATGTTTTAACTTCTGGTTCATTAGTTGAGATAGTGGCCTGTTCCAGATGAGAGATCTATTATACCACACATCATTTCTGGAGCTAGAGGGTGAGCAAACTGGTCCCCAAATTTGTCAACATTTCAGAACTAGTAATAGTAGATGTATGAAATTAAGAAGGCTAGGCTTCTACCCTATTCTTCGACTCTTTATAGCTGCCTCCAAACTTGGCCTCTTTAACTGATGATAGGAAATTTTGAGTTAAGGATCTGGAGGGTCTGGTGGTGCACCAGAGTAACACGCTAATGGGCTACACCCAGATCACACCACTTCAAGTTCCAGCCTTTGTCTCTCGACTGTTTGTTTATTTTTGCCTTGCTCATATTCGGATTGAAACATGATTATTTTTCTTTATTCATTCAGGGGATGAGGGCATCGCTGGCCAGGCGATCATTTATTGCCCATCCCTAATTACCCAGAGGGCAGTTGAGAGGCAACCACATTGCAGTGGGTCTGGAGTCAGATGGAGGCCAGCCGAGAAAGTGGCAGTTTCCTTCCCTTTAAAGGGCATTAGTGAACCAGATGGGGTTTTCCAACAATCGGCAGTGGGTTCATGGTCATCATTAGATTCTGAATTTGTTTTTTTTTTAATTGAATTCAAATTCCACCATCAACCTTTGCATTTTGAACTCAGGTGCACAGAACATTATGTATGCCTCTGGATTAACAGTCTAGCAATTACTAGGCCATTCCTTTCCCATAAAAAGGAATAGGAATAGGCCCTTTGAGCCTGCTCTGGCATTCAATACAATCATGGCTGATAAGTACCCTGTTCCTACTTTCTCTCCACAACCTGTGACCCCTTTAGCCATAAGAGCTTTAACTCCTTGTTGAAAACATTTTCTGCCTTGGCCTCGAGTGCTTTCCGTGTGAGCAATACATGTAAATTATAACCATTTACTAGTGAACAGTGCTAGATCTGGCTAACCCCTTCCCCCCTCCCCAGTTGGAGTTATTCCCAGTGCCAAGCAATGGATTGGAAGTCAGTCTGTGCTTCCGACTCAAATTGAGAATATCTGTGCAAAGAACAAGCCAGGAGAATTGAAATTATTTGAAACTAGGAGATTGTGCTTAGCATGTGCTGTGCTTGAAGCTCCTGCTTTGTACAGGGATGTGCATTTGAAGTTCATTAAGAATTCTGCCAATTATCATAAAGTATCAATTAAACTGTTGCTCTTAATGGTAAAAATTAATAATAGCTGATTCCAAAACTAACCTTCCATTATACCAATCCAATTTAAACCCTTATAAAGGAAGCCCAATCTTTTGACTTGGAAGTTAATTGAATGACAAATGTCCTGATTTTTGTGAGGAAGCTGTAGTTCTAACGGGAAATGGCAAGGACAGTGGATGCTATTTATCTCCATTTGAGGAAGGTATTTGAGAATGTAACATGTAACAAACAGACTCAGACTCAGAAGTAGTCATTGTTTAGGTGGCAAATCATTAGGCTGCATTGCAATGTGACTGAAAGACAGCAGACAGGTAGAATATGTTCCTATCTGCCCCTCTTTACTCTATTGGCTTAAAATCTCTGGTTTTGCAGTTCTGGTGAAAGGACTCTGAGCTGAAATGCTAAGCCTGTTGTGTTTTTCACAGATGCAACCAGGCATGGTGTGGATGGATTGTTGCGAAAGGCACACAAAGCTAGAATCATAAGGAAACTGCTGGTCGTTTGAATGACGAGGTGAGGAGTCCTAATTCTGCTCCTGAGCCATCACTCCCTACTGTGTTTGTTTTTATTTTAATATCTTGTTGTCGATCAATCTTGCTCCATACAAAACGAGCAGAAAGTTAAAGGTCATCTTGGGGCTGTTTCAAAGTTGTGTAGAGTACTCGTGAATTGGAAGGCAGGAAGCTAGAACTTGTTTGTAAAGAAAATGACAAGGGCGGAGGTGGGGGGAGGTGTGTGTGGGGGTGTGGCGCGGGAAGAGTGCATGGCTCCCTTAAGAGGTAAAGTGCTTTTCTTTACACAGAAAATGTGTCTGTAAGCAGCTGAAGATGTAAAGCCAGTTCTGAAATGGAGACATGTATCAATTGGCTGTATGATTAAAAACCTTAGGCTTGTTTTGATGTTTTGGCAACTAGCGTGAAGACCAGCCAATTAATTTAAACCAAGCACTTAGAGATTGAAAACCAATTGATTTTAAATCTGATGGTTTTGACAACCTTGGACCAATGCTATTGTAAGAAAATTGATATGTCATGCAAGGTATATAAGGAGAGGGTTTTTGAAAATCGGGGAAGAGCAAACTGACATCTGAGGAATAAACATCTAGTTCTCCCATGAATCTCTAAGCTCTCTAAGGAAGCACAATCTATCCATAAAAGGTACCATGGCATTTCTGGCTAAAAGTCCTAACAGAAGAATTCGCAGAAAACATCCCTACCGGAAGGATCAGTGAAAGAAAGGTGTTTATGACTGGAGAGACAGCAGAGAAGGCAGAACATTCCAGCAGACATAGACTCTCAAAGTCCATAGAGGGTAAGTTTTAATTTAGTTTTCTTATTACTTAGGCTTATATAAATGGGACTTGTATTTATTGGAACAGTGTACCATTAGAATTTTGTTCTTTTCAGGAATAGTTAGTAGTTAAGGGGAAATTGTTTGATTTGTTAGTAGTTCTGTTAATTTGTTCACTGTTAGGGTTAAATAAATAAATTGTTACTGGTTGCTTATAAAGTGAGTATCATAGATTTTCTTTCATTTAACCACTCCTTTTTAACAGATTAGATGAGGTGAGGTGAACTTTTCTGGGTGTTTTGGGTTTAATTATTAGAAGGGGACCTCTACTCCCGCTGTAACAGGTTGGGGGCTTGTTTCGATTTTAATTATCAGAGGACCTCAACTTCTCCTTTATAACAGGGCATATACGTGCAGCGAATGTGTGCTTGTGTGCCCTTATTCTGTGTAGCAGACAAACTTGCATGACCTCAACAAAAAGACTTAAACACACACACACACACACACACACACACACACACAAAGCCCAGTTAATAACCTGCACAAAGGATTCCATTCATGAGTCATGCCACTACTGTTAAATTTCCCAAGTACACATTATTTGGTAATATATAATAGGGGGGACAAGGGGACAAACATGCATACAGAAGCAGACATATGGACACGAGCACATATGGGGAGATAAAAAGTGATGCTGAAATCCCAGATTTCCTAGCTCTTGTTAGGTTTGTATGAAGTGGAAATTATTGAGAATTATTTGATGGATCCATTTGCAAGTTAAGTTCAGCTTTTGTCAATTCTTTCTTGTGATGTGGGCATTGCTGGCAAGACTACATTTGTTACCCTATCCTAATTGCCTTTGAACTGACTGGCTTGCTAGGCCTTTTTAGAGGGCAATTAAGAATTGACCAAATGGCTGTGGATCTGGAATCACATGTAGCCAGACTGGGTAAGAACAGCTGATATCCTTCCCTAAAGGACCCTAGTGAACCAGATGGGTCTTTACAACAATTAATTATAGTTTTGTGGTTGCCAGTACTGATAATAAGATCAACTCCAGATGTTATAACTGAAGTAAAATTCTACCAGCTTTTATGGTGGGATTTGAACTCTCAAAGCATTAGCTGGGGCCTCTAGATTACTGGTCCAGTGACATTACCACTACACCAACACTGATGCTTGCTGGTTTGGGAAGTAACAAGCTTCATACCAGTGCCCTCCAGTGCAGCGTACTCAAGCTGATACTGATAAAGTTGGCCTTCACAATGGTGCTACATGATATACCCCGAATTGTTTGGGTTAAGTGCAATCCCAGATATTTTAATCACAATATGATGAGGTAATTTGGACAAGAGATCTGATCTTCCTATTCAAAGTTTCTCTCCTGTTTCAGTTCCAGGCTGAAGTTACTATGAAGGATTCACCTTCTCAACCTCTTCCCATGTACTCCAGTGATCAGGAAGCTGCTTCAGCCTCGAGAGGAGGAACAATAGCTCGGCAGCCGAATCCAGATTTGGCGGGAGATAAGGGGGCCTGCAGTTGGGTACAACTGGAGACCCCGAGTCCAGCACTGCACTGTGATACCAACTAGGTGTGTGTGCTCTGAGATGGGCTTTATGCGTGCCCGGTGTGAGCGGTTCGCGAGAGGAATTCAAGGATGCAAACCAGAAGTAGGCCCCGCACACAAAGCAGTCCTTGAGCCAAGGCCACAAGAAAGGGAAAGAAGATCAATCAGATTTACTGATTGAGAGAAACGTTCCTGCAGACACCTCCGAGTCAAGGACTCCGTGAACCCTCCACACCAAGAGTGACCCTCGCAACCACTGAACACCATCAATTGACCACAAACCTCCACTTGATATCTGGAGGCGACCGAGAGCGTCCAGAGACACCAGACACTGACCAAGGCAACACCAGCAACATCCACGACCATCCGAGACAACAACCTGCTCGCAAGGACCACCAAGAAGGAAAAGGAACCCAAGGTACTCACCCATCGGGTCCACTGTGCCCAACCGCATCAGCGGACACCACCAGACTGACTGTTAGTAGCACTTGTGGCCCTTCGCGAAGTCCCAGTTACAGCAAGAGACTATGGACAAGAGCCTGTTGAAATCATATTTTCATTCTAGGGGTGAGCCTAAGGTCATTGAGACCCTCTAACCCAGCTTGGCTAGTCTTAGACAGGGGAAGGTGGGGTTCAGGAACTAATGGTGTAGGGCACTCCTAAGGAAGGGAAGTAATCCCTAGCTCTCTCTCTTCTCCCTGTTAGCACAGATGCAGTGGGTGGCTGTTGCTTATGTACCCACTGCATCAAATCTTGGCTGTAAGGCTTAACTGGGGGTCAAGTTAACTGGGAGACAGGTCTCAGTCAGTAATAGACGGGTTTGATATTCACTTTCTTGTTCTCCTGTAAATATATTCAATTTGCTTGTTTTTCAATAAAATCAGAGTTTTCTTTGCCTCTGAAGCATTTGCCTCCTGTATTTACCACCGTTCCACTGTCAGAATCCAGTGTCAGAACCAGGGTGCTGGTGAACACTAAACTGGGCAGCAGTCTCTCACACCCTCTTGCCCCTCCCACCCAACTGCCCCCCTCTATACCCTCTCTTTCTCTGTTCTTTCTCTCCCCCCCCCAGCCCCTCCCCACTCATCCCTTCCCTCTGTACCCCTCACCAACTCCAGACCCTCCCCCACTTCCCCACCCAACTCCCCCTCTCCTTCCCCTTGTCTCCGCCCACTCAGACCCTTCTCCCCCATCCTTATGCCCCCTCTCCCTTCTCTCTCTCCCCCTCCCAA